TAGAATGGTTCATGAGTCAACTACACATGAGGAAACATGAGTGCCCCCACAATGTTTAAAATCAATACAAAATCAGTTATAAATGTCTTAATAGAGAAATTTACAAGTTTTAACCAAAATTTAAAGTATGATCTATTACTTACCTTTAAGGATATACTATCGCAAATAAATGAAATAAAGTGGGGTGTTAAATTAATGAAAGTGCAAACTAAGATTAGGACTAATCTAAGAAAACAAGTAAAATGTCAAGGCCAAATTAACAAAATAAAAAAAAAATAATGTATAACATAAATAAAGGGGTAAATTGAATCAATGCAAAAATCAAAATACATTAATAAATAAAATAAATGATAATGAGCATAAATGCAAATGATTGAAATTTAAACATAAAAAAGGTACTAAATTGAGCCAAAATGAACATATAAAGCTAAATTAAAATGAAATAAAAAGAATGAGAAATAAAAGAAAACACATGACTAAACTGAAACAAAATGAAAATTAAAAAACAGAACATAATTTAAAGATAAACGAAAATGATAAAAAAAAAGATGTAATCTTGGTTGAGTGCACGCCTTATATATGATGAAGATGGAAGGCAACTGATTGTGGATCTAGAAAGGAAGGAAACACTCCTGCAACAAGATAGGCTCAAATAGATGATTAGGGTGGTAGATGATAGGTATTAGTGTAGGTTACGGAAATATAAGATGAAGATGATGATATGAAAAGAAATAAAAGGAATGGTGATGAAGGATGATGGCTTGGTTATGGTGTAAAGAAAGTGATGGTATGGTGAAGATAGTATCTTAAACAAAAACTAGGTTATAATATAGCCTAACCCCATACCTTATAAGTTTTGTTTAAGGAATGATAGACAAGGACTTGACCCCTCTAGTTATATTGAACTAGAAAACACAAGTATCTATGGAAAGAATAAGGGTTGATGCCACAAGCACAGATGCACTTAATAAGTCGATATATAGTTCTTAAAAAACAAAAAAGAGAGAAAATTCTCACTAATAACAAATTTGATGCAACGAGAGATGTCTTGGCGATTATTAGAAAATGAAAAGTAATTGTTGAATGGTTACAAGGATTTTCGGCCATACTTGTGTCTTTATGTAGATACATAATTAATGAGATGAATGCACATTTCTTTTGCCTAGGCGATGATTCGGCTCTCTCTTCAAAAGGATGACAATGTTTCGGTTTGAAGGAAGAGAAATGAGCCTTGGCTGAATAGTGTAGGTGTTTCTTCAAGTTGGCGCCAAGATGAGTGGTTGCAAGGCTTTGCTGAACAGTGATGTCCTTTGGTGGTTTAGGCGCCTAAATGAAGTCACATGGACTACACATGTAGTGATAAAGCACATGGATTGGTGTCACATGATCTCCACGCCTTGGTAAGATGAGCATAAGTTCGACCATGGTTTATGCTTGGCACATGATGTGTGCTAGGTGCTTAGGTGAGTGCTTCGGCAGCTAGCTAGGTGAGTAGAAGCTAGGTAGACTCAAGCTAGATAGCTACCCTTGAGTTAATGTCCTTATGCTTTGAGCTTCCTTTAGCTAATATGAGCTCTCCTTTGTTGCCTTTGAGCTATCATGAGCTGCCATAGTATGATTCCTTTGTCCACGAGCTTCCCAAGCCTTCCTTAGCATCCAATGAACCTAGGTAAGACATGAAAATTATAGAATAAGTCATGATTATGCTAAGAATGATATGAATGAATGATGCCGCCTATGATATGCATAAGATGTGGAGACATATGATATCCTATGCAAAAAACATAACAAGCATAGTATAAGGACTATGACATAATATGGTTAAGCCTAGAATAAGATGCATGAAATAAGCTAAGTAAATGATATGAAAATGCATGACAAAAAGAGTATGAAATAAACTATATGCAACATAATCATATGATATATAATAAATGAAAAGATGTGAAAGGTAGGTAAATGCTCCATTGTCCTTCTTTCTTGTAACACAAGATGAAAGAAAGATGAATAGTAAAAGGTGCATTAGTAGGATCACACCAAAAGGACTTGATTAAAACAAAAATAAAATTAAGATTGTAATATAAAACAAGAAAAAGATGGGATTTAAAGGGGAAGGGACTAAATTAAAAAGAATGAAATTGGAATTATCCCTTACCCATTAAAACGTGTAGATCAAAAGGATCTGAATGTGTCGTCATGTCAACTTATATAAGCCAAAAATCATAAATATTTTATTTTTCACATTTTAAAAATTTGAATAATAAAAAAAAAGAGTTCTCAAAATTTCTCAACTATTCTTCGTATTTCATCATATCCATCTGATTTCTAAGAAATTTCGTAGATACTCGGTATGAATGTCGGCCATCACTTGTCGATGACGACAAGTGGAGAAAAATTATATCTTCGAACTCTTTTTCATCCCTTCTTTCCTATTATGGCCTCAGTTTTCAATGAAAATCCTTTTGAAATGGATAGATCTAGAAAGATCTATTTGGGGAAAACCCTTCTCTATATCGAGTTCTTCTTGAGCCGAAGGTATTTCATGAGATACATATGAATACTGATATTGCTGGGATAATTGATGCATATTGTGTGAATTTTATATCTAATGTGAAATTATACATATAGTTCGTTGAGATTGATACTTGTGGTTGAAATTCGAATATTAAATCAAAACTGATAGATGACATATATGAAATATACATGAAAGCATTGTTTTATGAGATACATAGGAAACAAGAAGAAATGGCACAAAAGATAATGAACTCAACGTTACTTCAGAGAGTCCATAGATTATGATGACTAAATATTTTATGTAAAAGTCACGTGTTTATAATTGTGACGTTTATTGTTTTCATCTCTGTAAGTATGTAGATAGAGAACTCTTTAAATATATTGTAACAATATTATCCTTACTCAATAACAATTGTTGCATTTGTTATGTCTTCTCTCCATGCACATTGTTATAAATTTGTTTGGATTTTAGATTGATGCCTCTCCTTTATTCAACCCACAAATAATTTTATTGGGTTACATTTTAAATGATTCTTGTTTCAAATTGAATGAAATATTTGAACTATTCGTAGATTGATTTCTCTCAATTCAAAGATAAATTATTATAAGGGTAAATTTAATTTTAAATTAAGGATCGAATACAACTTAAATATTAATAATATTAAACTAAATTATGATATACTAAATAAGTATATGAATTAATTTCCAAAGATCAAATGTAGCGTAAATATTATAATATAACATTAAATTGTGAGTTATTAAAAAAATAAGGATAAATTTATTAAAAATTATCTTTTAGGGATCAAACGCAACACAAATATTATAATTTTAAAATATTATACTAAATTATGATATATTAAACAAAAATAGAGATAATTTATTATTTAAATAAATCTTTTAAGGAGTAAATTCATCCAAAATATCATAAGTGGACATTATTTGATCACATTGGCATCTATAACCAGTCATTTTGACTCTCATTTTAGAAAAGCATGGTGATTCTTTGAGTTTTTAATTTACTATTTGAAAAGAAGGAAAAGGAAATAACCGCTGTCGCCACTGCCGCTGCATCTTCTTCAGTGACAAAGGAGGAGCTGACGTTGATTGTAAAATGGAGCAGAAAAAAGTATACGTTTCAAGTCTACGGTGAAGATTCAGTCGCCATCCTAGAATCTAGTCGTTACTACCACCTCTCCTTCGACTTTCCTGTTACCACCTTTCCAGTCCAGCCATACTCTTCCTCAGCATTGGAAGCCATTGAATCATCGCTGTTGATAACAGCTTCATGATTGCCAGCACCCATCGTCAACATACACACCACTGCCATCTTTCTCACTGACTCCGCTATTGTTTTCTTCTTCACCGCCGCCTTGTAAGGGGGAACCAATGTACATTGCCAACCCCGATTCACTACTGTGACACTTCTTGTTGCCCCCACAGACCTCAGAAGACTTCATATTACAAAAATAAATAAAAAAATTGAAGGAACGAATTAGCTTTTAAAGTATAAAACAACATGGGAGAACATGGTTTTACCACCTGGAAAATCTATATAGAAATCCCATTTAACTCTCTAACTCTAGATAAGCGGTCAAAAGAAAATGAAATCCAGCTTTTACAAATGGTATGAATCCCATAATTTCTTGTATTTAAAAAGACGGGTTGTGGTTGATTATTAATTTAGTTTCTTTCCAAACTGATGAATGATGATACAATATCCTTCCCTCATGCATTTCTCCATTAATTAATGTGTCTCTTCAGTTTTTGCGTGTTAACATTTTATCTTTGATATCAACAACTTCATCCTGTCCAATATGAAGTCATCAATAACCTCCAGAATCTCAACCGGATCAACAATTATATCATCTTCGACAGTTTCAAACATGGAGAGAAGACTTGAGAGGAATCTGAGAGAGCAAATGGGAGTCATCGAAGAGTTTGTTTCTATTGATGTTTTGAGTTTGATACTGGAAATCAAATATTAGGTTGCAACTGGAAATGAGAAATTAGGTTGCAATTGAGAATTTAGGTTGCAACCGGTTTTGTCTTGTATGTCAGCTATAATGATGTTTGTTAGTTGTTAATGAGTCTGTTTTAAGTTAAGTGTTTCTTTTACGCTAATGTATGACAGCTCTACATTTCAGATTGTTGTGTTTTGTAATCTTTTAAATGAAATTGTTAGAATGATGAGAGTGTAGTAAAAAAAAACCTCTCCATCTTTGTTCAATCTTTTCGTATTCTATCCTCTTTTGTTTTTCTACTCATCCTCTCCTTTTTGCTTTCAAGCTTGTTTTCTTGGTTTAACATTAACAGTGGTAATTAGAGCTGTTTCTTGAGGGCTGTGAGGTTCTATTGCTATTTGTGAGTGATTAAAACACTTTGAGAGTTTGAGTTTTTTTTGAGTGTTTTCTAAAATGGCTTCTTCAAATGCTTTTTCAACACATGTTCCTATTTTTATATGAACTCGTTACTATGTTTGGGCAGTTAAGATGAAAGTCTATTTGAGATTTCTTGGCTTGTGGAGGGTTGTAGAAACTGATGAAGATCCACCAGCATTGAGACCAAATCCCACTCTTGCTCAACTCAAAGCTTATGATGAAGAAATGTTGAAAAATTATAGAACTCTAACGCGTATTCACTCCGGGCAAGCAGACCACATTTTCGCCTGCATTATGGATCTTGAAACACCCAAGAGTGTTTGGGATAAACTCAAGGAAACTTATGAGGGAGGTGATAGAGTAAAGAAAACAAAGCTCTTAACTCTAAAGAAAGAATTTTCTATGTTGCAAATAAAGGAGGATGAGTTAATCAAAGATTTTTCAATGAGGTTTATGGACATTGTAAACCAAATCCGTCTTTATGGTGAAGATTTATCGGATAAAAAGGTGGTAAAGAAAGTCATGATCAGTGTTCCTCAAAGGTTCAAAGCAAAAATTTCAGCTATTGAGGAATCTTGTGACATGTCAAGATTGACCATTGATGATCTTGTTAGCAAGTTAGAAGCACAAGAACAAAGAGTTTCTATGCGAGCTCATGAGGCAAGTGAAGGTGTTTTTCTTGCTGCTCATAAAGGAGTAAAGTTTAATAACTCTGTGAAGAAATGTGAAAGTTCGAACAATGGTAAGGCTTTTGTTTTTTCTGCTTGTCAGAATGGAAAGTTCGCACCATGTCCTATTTGTAAGAAGACAAATCATGTTGAAAAGGATTGCATGTTCAAGGATAAGGGCAAGACCAAATTTCAGTTTACTTTTTGTGATAAGCTTGGTCACACTGAACAATTTTGCTGGACTAAAAAGAAACAAACAAATAAACAACCTCAACAGTAAGCAAATGCTAGTGAAAAGAACCAAGAACAGGGTGAGCACTTATTTATGGTTTCTCATATTGTTGAACTAGCTCACAATTCCATTTAGCTTGTGGATAGTGGGTGCACTAGTCATATGACACCTAAGGCAACATACTTCAATTCACTTGATCATTCTTTCAAGACAAGTGTGAAGTTGGGAAATGGTGCTACGATTCAAGTTCAAGGAAAGGGTTCGATTTGTGTCAATACTCCTCAAGGTAAAAGAACTATTCACAATGTTCTTTTTATTCCTAATTTAGATCAAAGTTTGCCGAGTATTCCTCAAATGATTAAAAATGGCAATAGTGTTCAGTTTAAGGGTGATGTCTGTAACATGTTTGATGGTTGTGGTTCTAAGTTTGCTGAGCTGAAAATGAAGAATAACAATTTCTATTTGAAGCTTGATGTTGTTTGTGAACATGTTTACTTATCAAAGGATGAAGTTAGTCCAATTTGGCATAAAAAGGATAGGACATTTTAATCTTGGAACCTTGAAGTGCATGCAGTCGAATGGCTTTGTAACTGATTTGCCTAAGCTGAATATTTATGATGATAAATGTGAAACTTGCCAACTTGGAAAGTCACATAGGTTGACATTTTCTCATGATGGTGTGCAAAGAGCAAGTATGAAATTAGAGTTAATTCGGTCTGATTTATGTGGTCCAATGAAGACTTCTTCTATGAATTGCAGCAAGTATTTTGTGTTGTTTATAGATGATTTGAAAAGAATGTGATGTGTTTATTTCTTGAAGTCTAACATGAATGTATTGTCAATGTTCAAAGAATTCAAGAAATTTGTTGAAAATCAAAGTGATTGCAGGTTAAAGGTCTTAAGAACAAACAATGGTGGACAATATGTGTCCAAGGAGTTCAATGATTTTTGCAAAGACTCTGGGATTCATCATTAGCTCACTGTTCCTCACACTCCTCAACATAATGGAGTTTGTGGAAGGAGGAATAAAACTGCTTTGAATATGTCAAGATACATGTTGTTTGAAAAACATCTTCCCAAATCTTTTAGGGCAGAGCTTGTTGATACTTCTGTGTATTTGTTGAACAAGTTAGCAACCAAGGTTGTGAATGGGAAAACTCCTCTTGAAGCATGGTATGGGTCTAAACCATCCGTGGAACACCTTAAAGTGTTTGGTTTAATCTTCTTTACCCATATACATGCCAATATGAGGTCTAAGTTAGATGAGAGGGCTTGGAAAGGAATTTTTATTGGTTATTCTTCTCAATCCAAGGGGTATAGAGTCTTCAATTTGGAAAGAAAGAAAGTTGTGATAACTAGAGATGTCATTTTTATGAAGGTTCTTATTAGAATTGGGAGAAGAATGATGTGTAGAAATATGATACACCAATGGTTGAAGATGTTGCTATAACTGATGATTGTGAGAATAATGAAACTAGTGATGGTTTCGATACAACATATATGACTAATGCTGAGGTTATCAAAACCAAATCCTTAGATGATGTGTATGAAAGATACAATTTTTTTCTTTGTTGAACCAAAAAGTTTTACTGAAGCTTTAAATGTACCTGAATGAATTGATGCAATGAAGGCAGAAATTTATGCAATTGAGAAAAATAGTACTTGGTTCTTAACTGATCGGCCTAACGACAAAATGTTATAAGTGTAAAGTGGGTGTATAGGACCAAGTTCAATCCGGATGGTATTGTGTTCAAGAATAAGGTGAGGTTGGTTGTAAAAAGGTATGCATTGATAGGTGGAGTTGACTACGGTGACACATTTGCACCGATTGCTAGACTCGATACCATAAGATTACTCATTTTCATTGCAGGTCATTTGGGTTGGAATGTGTTTCATTTTGATGTAAAGTCTGCCTTCTTGAATGGAGAGCTCGAAGAAGACATATATGTGAATCAACATGAAGGTTTTGTAGTTGTTGGAAAGGAGCATCAATTGTACAAGCTTAAGAAAGCTCTTTATGGCCTAAAACAAGCACCAAGGACTTGGTATTATCGAGTTGATTCTTATTTTCAGAAGTTGGGTTTTCAAAGGAGCATTAATGAAGCTACTTTGTATCTTAAGAAAGATAAGAATGATGATTTGCTTGTTGTTTCTCTTTATGTTGATGATTTGTTGGTGATGGGAAGCAATGACAAAGTTGTCTTAGAATTCAAGTTGAGTATGCAAAAGGAATTTGAGATGTCTAATCTTGGCTTGATGAACTACTTTCTTGGGATGGAAATTAATCAAAGAAATGATGATATTTTCATTTCAAAATAGAAATATGCTTAGATGTTCTAAGGAAATTTAAGCTGGAATATTGCAAGGGAGTCGATTCACCATTGCCTTTAACTTGAAGTTGTCAAAGAACAATGGTGAGAAACTTTGTGATCATTCTATTTTCATAAGCATAGTTGGAAGCCTACTTTATTTGACAGCAACAAGACAAGATTTAATGTTCCCTGCAATGTTGTTATATAGATTTATGAGTTCACCAACTGATGTTCACTTGGGTGTTGCTAAGAGAGTTCTCAAGTATGTGAAAAACACAATGTGTGAGGGACTGAATTATTTGAAGACTGGTAGTGTATTGTTGAATGGATATTTTGACAGTGATTGGGCCAAAAGTTTGGATGATATGAAAAGTACATCTGGATATGTTTTCAACCTTGGCTCAGGTGCAATCTGTTGGAGTTCGAAGAAGCAACAAGTAGTGGCTCAATCAACTGATGAAGTTGAATACATTGCTGCTGCTGTAAATCAAGCAATTTGGTTGAAAATTTTGCTTTCTAATCTTGGATTTGAGCAATAAGGTTCTACTTTTCTTTTGAGTGACAACAAATATGCTATTGCTATTGCTGAAAATACAGTTTAACATGGAAGAACAAAGCATATCAATATGAAGTTTCATGCAATTTGTGAAGTTAAAAAGAATTTGCAGATCAAGATGGAATTTTGTTATTCTGAAATGCAAGCTACTGATTTGATGACAAAGGCTTTTTCAAGGAATATAATTTCTTTTCTCAAACATGAGCTTAGTATAACCAATATTAACCTTGTAACATCCCAAACTACGAGTTAGTGACCAAACTGTAAAATTTCAGAATTTGGTGATTAAAGTAAAATAGTTGAATATTTCAATGATTTATTTGAGGATATTTCCTTAAAGTTTTTAGTAATTATCCAAAGAATTTAAGGGCAAAATGGTCATTTGACAATAAAGATATTTCCCCCTTAATAAATATGAATCACGTGGGGTAGGGGAAAGAATTATCTGAAAACTCTTTCTTCTTCTTCCTCTCCTCCCGTGAAGGCTCCAAGGCAAAGGTGAGTTTTCTAATTAATCAATTATGTGTTGATTTTTTTGAGTTTGTTTCGATCATTAGATGATAACTAAGCTTAAGGAAAGTTTAATTTGTTCTAAAATAATAAGATGAAAGATATATGAGAGATTAAAGATTTTGAGTTCTTGAATGAAATCTTGATATAGTGTTGATAAGTTGAATTTGAAGTTAAATTTGACTTGTCATCATGCTAATTAAGGAATATGAAGTGTTAGAATTGTATTTAGAACATATTAAAATTTGAGTATGATTCTTGAATTACATATGAGGGATAAGATTTTGAGGTTAAAGATGGTTTTCATGGATATAAGTTGGTTTAAGTAATGGTGGTTGGGTTTAATGACATGATAGGGGTTTAAAATAGAAGAATTGAGTGGAGAATTGATGATTTTCGGGCTTAAAATACAATTTCTGGGCATAGGGAATCGATACCCTATGAAGGGGTATCGATACCCCCTCTTGAACGAAAATTCCAGTATGTGCAGGGAGAACAGATTTCCCCCTGGGGGGGGTATCGATTCCCCCTAAATGAAAAAATGGAATTTGATTCATTAAACCGGTTTAAGTTATTAACATCAAGTTTAAAGTTTAGGCTTCTGATAGTTGTTTTGAAAGGATATATTTATGTAGATATTGAGTCTAAACAAGTTCCAGAATAATCAAAGGATTAGGATCGAATCAAAGCAAGGCTAAGGTGAGTGCAATTTAATTGTACTTATGCTATCGAAAAACATTGGCTTGCGATGAGCCAGTGACGGAGTTACTATGGTAAGAAGTGACTCTTAAAATGTTATATGATTTTTATGAGTGTATATGTTAAATGATACATGTTAGTGTGATTGTGAATATGTAGAAAGAAAACAAGTAATGATATAAGAATCTATTATAAGATATATGATATGAAAATATGATAGTGAGCTAGGTGATGTATATATGGGAAATATATGTGAACAAAATATGATATAAGCTATGTATATGTGATATATGTGAATGCATGTATGATGTATGAATTCATGAGTAAAGGTATGCATAAATGATATATGTATAAAATTACATATATGAGAATAGGTATATGTAACATGTGAATATACTTGAAAAAATACATGTTATCTGATGAGATATATGTTACATGATATGACATGTGAGTTTACATAAACAAAGGAGAAATGATATAAGTCATATGAAACTATCTACGTGAATACATGCACTTGTGATACATGTGATATGATATGAGATATATGGTTACACATATATATGGTATGTGACAGAAGAGAAAGAACAAGTGATATGAAATGTATAAATGATAATGCCCATGTTATATAATACGAGATCTATAGGTATAGTTGACATGCCAAGAGTCGAGGGTCTACGCGGTCCTTCAGGACATATACAGTGGTCCTTCGAGACAAATACATAGGTCCTTCGGGACAAATTTCATATGCCACTCAGTGGGACTTATATGAGCTGTGGTGACAGCATTAGTGCACAACCTCAATGTACTCACATACCTTCAGTTCTCACCAGTGTACCATGGGATAATAAAGAGATAATATCAAATACAATATATATATATGAAGTACATGTTTTGATGATACGAAATGCGTTATATGAATTATATGATGTTATGTGTGTTTTGTGATGAGATGATATATGTGTTCCATAATG